TTTCCCCTCTATAAACCCAGGTAACCCCTATCTGTACATCTCTCTATGCGTTGACTGAGTATGCTGCATGCACCCCATACTTTGCCTTTAGTTTGACTTTCAGGACATAAGTCAGACTAAGTAAAGGAATGCCTTTGCAATCTCAGTTTCAGTTTGTTGACTGATTGAAGACAGATTGTGAATAAAAGGGGAATTGCATCAGGGGGAAGGTTGAGAGAAAGGTGGTTTTGTTTGTGATTAGAAGGGTCTTATAGGGTCAGGCACTGTTCCATAAGATTGGATGACCTGACTGCTGTGTTTTATTTTTCGAATTGCACTGAGAATCAGACAAGTTCCATAAGATTGGATGGTCTGATTACTCTGACTTGAAAGGGTTTGACTGTGGTTGACTTTCAGGAGCCAAGCATGTTCCATAAGATTGGATGGCTTGGTTGCCTTGCTTAATTGGGTTTTACTCTGTTTCATTAGTTTCTGAGTGAGGAGGATTGAGCAAGTTCCATAAGATTGGATGGCTCAACCTCTTCCTGCTTTTGTTCTGAGGGAGTAATTCTCGCTGAGGACAAAAAATGCTCCATACGATTGGATGGCTTTGGACTCATGTCGCACACAGATGGATCAGAGAGAAATGAACATGGCGGAGGACCAGACATGTTCCATAAGATTGGATGGTCTGGCCCAATGCCCCGCACATGTTGGAACCCAAGGGTTATAATTTGGCTATATTTTATTACTATCTTACTTAAGAACAGGCTAGTCAGGCAAGGGTTCCATAAGATTGGATGGCCTGACTATAACTTTTCATAAGTTTGAAGAGAGTACAACTAAGAATATAATTGAAGGTAACTTTGGGCAGGTTGAGCTTTGTTTCTAAGATGAATGGCTCAGTCATATGCTCAGCTTTTGAACACTAAGTTCAGAGAGGTATATACAACTTGGGTATTAAACAGTTCAGGGCGACTAAGCATTGTTTCTAAGATGAATGATTTAGTCATATGCCCAAAGGAAGAGAGAAGTAATCGTGCAACCTGTTCGTGTATACTTAATGGCCGAGTCAGACATGTTCCATAAGATTGGATGACCTGACTTTACGCCTTATGTAAGCAGGGTATAAGGGGTTAAATCATTGAAAGATCATGAGCTATTGTTTGATTCAGGTATACCCGGGGATGGTGAGAGTACTTACCTTTGTGGTTTGACCTGCATGTGACTGAGTGAGGCTACTACTTAGTCTGAGTTTCAGTTTGACAGGTAGTTGCTGTAGTTGCTCGCCACGTGGTAGAGCGATAGGATTTAGTTCAATTTCTGCATTTTCTGAGCTAAGTTTATTTTACTTAGATCTATTCTCACATTTTCTGGGATCTTTTGTTATACTTGGTTTTGTATAACTTTTGGTAAGCTACTTTCTCTACGGGAAGCGCTGCCGAAATTTCTGCGAATCCAAAGAGTTAGTCAACTTTTTACTTTTCAAAGTTCAACTTGTCTAAAGTTCATATATGACCTAGTAAAAATCTGGAAAGTCTCATTTTCTAAAGGGAGTGCTGCCCAAATTTTTGCTAATTCAGGGAGTTAGAAAAAATTGAACTTTGGAAAGTCGAAGACCATTTTTGGTTTTCATATTCGGCTGATATAAATTCTGAAAAGACACTTTTCCTACGGGAAGCGCTGCCGAAATTTTCTTAGTTTAAGAGAGATAGATTATATTTCGACGGGTGGCGATTCTGGTGATCCACTCTGTATAGGGGAGATTAAGGGAGATAGATTATATTTCGACGGGTGGCGATTCTGGTGATCCACTCTGTATAGGGGAGATTATGCCAGGGTCTACCTTTGCTTTGGGCACTGCTTAAAGATAGATTCAGGCTTAGTCAATTAGAAGGATCTTGGATGAGAATGTGTTATGGAGTTGTTTCTCCACACACTTATGATTTTAGCTTGGGGATTGGTCAGTCTTGTGTTACAGTTCTTCGGGATCGATTGATTCAAGACTTGGACTAGATTCAGCTTGATCCTACGAGGATCATCTTCTGTTATCACTGATAACAGGTCGGTTGTCGATTCGTCGGTTTACGATTCAACACCAATTCACTCATGCCACTCAGCCTAAAGACTTTAGTCTTGTGATTGGACTGTTTGTTGTGTTTTCACCCGGACTTTATTGAATGGTCATCCAACGAAAGTACCGAGTATTTATTTAAGAGTTGCACGAGTGAGACTTGTATGGCTAAAGCGAGGGGTATGAGTGCAATGAATGGTTGAAGTTGACCCCGTGTAGTGTGTGGACTTCTGGATGAATCTTTGATGTGATTGCAGGTGCGTTTGTGGTTCAGACTCTGGATGTGATTGCCTGCGATTACATACATATATGGTGGAGAGGAGCCTCACTGTGACTGTGAGAAGTGATCGTCCTATATAATCAACCCTCATATATTTACGAGTACCCTGGGTATTTGAGAGACCTACTGTAGTTGTGTATAAGGGTTAACCGGATTATGGCTTGAGGGAAAAGGAAGACCCTCTGTTATCCCTTGCTTTTTGGAATTTTTATAGTTGGACGTTGTTGTCCGTGACAGCCGTCAAAGTCAAACCCCTTGACTTTCGATCAGGCCTGGATTAAGACTCATCCCCAGGGCAGCAAGAAACGGCTGCCACCACATGTAAGGACATGTGTACCACCCGCTCTGCACAGAGTGCAGAAGAGGGTGTGTGGTCTTCAACCGCGTATGGCGGTTGTTCAGCGTCGAAAGATTAACCCTCAAGGCGCGTGTCAGCCGACACTTCAGTGTTGAATGCGACCCTCGAGGTTAAGGAGGATCGCATGACTATGGGTACTACATGGTACCCCATCATTGCGAGCGCTTGCGTACGCTTGCATTGCGAGTCGATATGAGTTAGCCCTGCGTCCGCGCAGTTTTATACTGTCTCACGCGCGATGCCCATTCGATTTGCGCATCGGAAAGTTATGGGATTGTTACTGAAGGGACTATGAGTGTTGTCGCGTTGTTCGATGTGTGTGTGCGTGTGTGTTTTATTTTGTGTTCATAGAGTGGTGTGCGCGTGGTGTGTGGGATGCGTCCTAGTCGACCGACGACGAGTCGCGCTTGGGACCTCAGCCCCCCAAGGTGTCGATTTGCTTGCGGGTCCGATAGAGGCGTATAACCGCGCGTACCCCCTATGCTACAGCGAACGAGAAACGCCCTCGACTGGTCCACCTTTGCGATTGCAACAGATTAACTTTCGTATTGTGGACTGGTAGCTCGGCGGGGATACGCCCACCGAAGGGAGGTGACAGCTCCCGTAAGGTGGAGGTAAGTCGTGCCTCGCGTAGGCCCTATCCTGTCGTAGGGGCTCGCGGGAGGTATGGCTGGCGCACTCGGCCGGAGCGGCTTGCGGAAGCTCCATGTATATTTTGCTACGAAGGATTTAAACCAACTCCTGCGTGATGCGGCCGAGAGGGTCCCGCGTTGTCTTGTGCGGTGCCGGACCGATGCGCTCGACACTGCCGCGCCTGTTTGTTGTGCGCTGTAACATTTAATTTTCGTCGTCGTTTTTTTTTTTTTTTTTTTTTTTGCCCCATTTTTCGGGGACTAACGGTCGCACGCCGGTGGGTACCCCGCGCGATGCGGCGCGTTAACGGCCGTGTCGATTTCCTCAAGCAGGGAGAGGTACTGGTGGTTTAACGAGGTTATAAGAGCATCCTCAGAAAGTTGGTTTCGTCGTAGAAGGCTTCATCTATTGGTGGGAGCTACACCTGCTGAAAAACGGGTCCAACGTATTACATGAACGTATCTGCTGGAAATCAGTCCATTGACGACCTGGACACATTCGCAGCAAGTTCAGATAGTCTGCCTGCAGGAAACAAAGATTAATGAAGGAAAAATGGCAGATAGTTGAAACTGGTGGCCTGACCCCCAACTTTGGTCCCTGCAGACGGGACCGAAGGAGGAGTGGCGATACTTTTAGACAGAAGTTGGAAATTGAGATTATAGACAGCTCTACGGATACCGAAGGCCGCTCGGCTTGGGTAAAATTGGGAATAGCAAACGAAGACTGGGCCATTATGACCTTATATGCACCAGTAGACTACAGTAACTCTGCTAGAATCAATTTTTTTGCAGATTTACCTCGGTGTCTGCCCAATACTTATAACCTAATAATAGAAGGAGATTGGAATTGCGTTCTCAACCCTGGGCTCAACTTACCAAACACTTCCGCAATTCGCACAGATACCCTCCTATTGAGGTCCCTAATGGAATCGCAGGCTTTGAGTGATGTTTTCAGTGTTCTTAGTTTAGACACTCCGGGTAATACCTGGTTTGGCCCTCGCCCTGCGCCCAGGGCCCCCCACCCCAAGAGAAGATTGGACTTCTTGTTGGTCAGGGGGGACCCTTGGGATAGGTGTATACCGTGTATGTGGTCAGTCAAGGGGACGGAATCTACATCAGATCATTACCCAGTTCTCATGGAGGTCCTCTCCAAGGAAATTGTGGCTCGGCACAAACCTCCATGATTCAGACTGAATACCGAAGTACTTAAGGTCCCAAAAATACCACTTTGGGTCAAGGACCAGATGAAAGCTTGGGACCTAGCGAAAAATTTATTCTCTAACCATGAAGATTGGGTGGACGTGGGCCTATGCATCCTCCAATTGGCTCAAATGATTGAGTCCTCTAGAATCAAAGCAGCCGCCAAAACTGGAAAGAAAAAGAACTCATACAGACAATAGACCTAACAGAAAGGAATATGGATAGAGACCCCTTTGAGGAATATTATTGGTCTTCAAAAAGACAGAAAGCCTTGGAGAAATTGGAAGCACTGGAAATCCAAGATAATCGGTTCCCTCATGCAGTGTCTGGATTTGGTACCGCTCGCCGTGAGGTTGTGCTCCTCAAGCAGACTCAGGACTTTATCGAGGTCCTGGATGTGCTTCCAAACAAAGCGCCTTACCCCTGGCAAGACCTCGTCGCTCTCTTTTATTGTCGGCCTCTTCACCGCCAAATCGTCGATGTATGACTGTTTGATTTGAGGGCTAACTGACTGCATAGTCCGAATCATGGTCCGTTGGACCATTGCTACCGCGTTGGTCCACCCTCGTGGGGCCACGTTCATGTGGATTAGTCCTCTCGGCGTGTGCATTGCCGTCACTGGCCTATCCGGCGGGTAGACTGGAAACTGATCATATCCTGAGTAAAGGTCTATAAGTGAGATTAAAGGCCTTCCAACACAGGATTCTGACAGAGCATCCGCATTTGGAAGTCCTCCAGCATCCCGCACGGTTACTGCATTCAGCCTCTGCAAATCTTGCACCCACGCAGCGTCCCGTTAGGTTTGATGAAGCAGAATCACGGGGACGCATACGGCCCACTCGAATAATCGGCGACGTGCGTACGTTTCTTGTCGTCGAGGTAATCCACCACCTTCTTCTCCTCGTCAGGATTAGGATATCGCGCCCCTCTCATGTTCCAAGGCTCGTGTGGCACAGTGTGGATGCGGATCATAGGTATTTTATCCACATCCAGCCTGCCACGCTCCTCGTCACTGAACGCATAGGCGCGATGCCTCCTCTTCATCAACTCCATCATCAATATCCGCTCCTGAGGCAATAGGAAGTCAGGTTCTCCTATAATCAACTTCCCCTCATTCCCTTCGGTGATACGACATGGTCCTGCTAAAGCATTCTCCCTCATTCGCCGTATCAACCCTCGTTCCCTCTCGTAGTATGCTTCCTCGTCTTCCGTAATGAGGACGGAAACTGGGCGGCACTTCTTGTCTACCGTCTTGTACCGCCTTTGGGAACTCTGCTTGAGCCGTCCCCTAAAAAAAACCGACTCACAGATTGCGCCGGCGCGGACGCGGGGTTCCTTCTTCCGCCCGGAAGACGGTATACCAGCTCCAATCTCCCAGCCTCAAGGCATTCCAGAACTTGCTCCCTCAAGGCCTGGATGGCATCCGGATCCACCATCTCATGTGCGGCCACTAAATCCATGGCCTTTCCGACGTCCGATAGGCTAAGGGAAAATGCTTTCACCTCTTCTTCTCCTTCCGGCTCCGCCCGAAGTCTTCGGCGCTTGCCTTCCGATTCTTCGATCGTGAAGGATCCCGGGTTGGGCCGGTTCCTTATACTCCTCGGTCCTGTATTCCTGCAGGTAATTATCTCGTAATTCTTGCAGGCATGGTCACATAGGAGGAGGATCAGAGTACCGTCATGCTTGTTGAACATCACGGTTTCTGTCCTACTCAAAAATGACCTCCCTAGGAGGATCCCATGGTCCACGTCCGGCATGATGAAGAAGCAAGCTCGGGCCTTCATCTTTCCAACCTTGATGAGTACATTCGAGGTTGTCCCACAAAACACGGCCTTGCAGTTGGCGCCGTGCAAAATACCGCAGTCAGATCGGTCTATGTCTAGCCCGAATCTGATAGAATCCGCCTCCCGGATGATGTTCATTTCCGCCCCGGTATCCACCATCGCTGCGCACTTGGAGCCTTTCACCACTAAGTCCACCGTGCCGCAGGCCACGCACTTCCAATCCATTTTCGTGCCCGACTCCGCCCACTCTGCCTCCTTGGGCAGGATCGTACCCAAATGGACGTTGGGCACCAAGCGCCGCGACAACCTCCCTTTCAATTCATCGCGGAGTCGCGGGGCTGACGTTAGTATTTCCTTCAGGGTCATGAGGTCATTATGCCCTTCCAGCAGCCGGTCGGTCACTTTCTCTACGTCAAATCCCTCTTCCAATCGAACCGCGTACTTCTTCCTTTTGGGTGGTCCGTCACGTATGACCGGCTCGGCCTCTTCCCTGGTCCCCTTTTTCCTTGCCCGCTGCTCCGCTCTCTGATCCTCTTCTCGGCGCAGCCTCTCGTCTTCTTCCTCTTCATCATCATCCTCCTCCACTTCCACGGCCTCTTTCCTTTTTCCCGGTTCGGGCTCCCTCCTCGGAGGCTCTTGGCTGGCACTGACCTTGGCTTGATTCCTCGTTCGCGCTGCTTGTGCTAGCCGGGCCTGCAGGGTGAGGGGTCTCCCCATCACCCCCGACTGTGGGCTTGACCCTACCACATTTACTCCGGGTCGCCCAGGCACTGACTCCGGGCTGGAGTCGTACAGGAACGCCTTAGGGATGCTAGACTTCCATTCCCTCACCTCCTCACAAAGGGCCTCCAACTTCTGTTGGTACCTTCCCACCTTGTCCAACAAATCCTCCATCTTCCCTAATAAGACGGACGGAGACTCCATCCTTCTTTCCTCGTCCTCGTCATCCGATTCGATGATTATGGGTTCTTCCCTCTTGCTTCCTCCTCGTGGCCCTTGAGTTATTTCCTCGTCGCTCCCCACTTCCTCTACCCCAATCGGTGGTTCTTCCTTTTCCTGCCATAATCTGAATTCTCCTATCCCCACCGATGGTCCTTTCTTCTCCTGCCATAGTCTGAATGTGGCAGGAGGTGGCGGCCCGGCTGCCACCGTCCGTTGAGCTACCTCCCTTACTCCCCGAGCCTTCTGTCGATAAACTCCCCAAATTGATCGTAAATGTTCCCGTCCATAGTGGAGGAAATCAACCCGCTTTTCTCGTCCTCCCGCCTTATGTTACAGAACCTTATAGTGTGGCCTTGCTGGTCACAATGCTAGCAGATGGCCGACCTCCATCAAAACGGGGCCTTCCGTATCCCTGACTTCCCTAGTCCCCCTGGCCTTGGTACCCCTGGCCTTGGTTTCCTCGGCCTTGACCATTCCATTGTCCTCATCTTCCGCCGCCATTCCTGCCTCGCCCCCTCCCTCCACCCCTCCCTCTGTTGCCTTGATTGCCCTACCCCTGGTTCCCACCTCCAGCCACGCTTCCCTGTGAACTGGGGGCAGGTGACGGCGGCGGGGCCACAGGCTGGGCCTGGGCTGCGGGGTAGATGGGTGGCGGCATACTTATTTGTGGTCCGGCGACTGTCGGCGGGCTACCCCATGACACAATTGCATTGATCACCGGCCAGGGCCATTGTTCGTAGGAGGGTGCTCCTCCTTGCGAGGGGCCCGCACTAGACGAGGGCGCCGCCACACTTGGAGGAGCCGCCACCACCACCTGAGGCGCCTGCGCCTTCCCTGATCCCTGTCCGCCCTGCGCCAAATTACGTACTTTGCGCTGGGCCTTCGTCACGCGTTGCGGCACCGGCTCCTCCTCTTCCCAGAGCTCCTCCTGCACAACCTCCTCTATCACCGGCTCCGTTCCTTTCACTTGGACAGCTGTTACTACCCTCCTTTGCACCACCGGCTCCGTCGCATACCCCAGCTGTGCCAATACGTTTGTAACAATCCTTGTTACCCCCGGGGTCCTAGAAGCGGTCGCATCTCTTTCCTTTCTCTTCTGCCTTTGCAGGCGTACCTGACGTTGTTCCACCTGGTCCAAACATCCAACTTCCACCCCTCTGTCAATAGTGGCCCAGGTGAGCATGGTGCTACCTCCTCCATGCCTCGTCAACTCGACGGCCTCCGATGTCGTGAGTAGTCCGAGGAAGATGGCGCACTGTGCTTCCTCCGAAATCCCATGGACCTTCCGCGCCCTCTTCTTAAATTCTTGAACAAAAGCCCCTATCGTCCTAAAATCCTCTTTGTTCATTGCCTCGAGGTCCGCAGTGGTCAACAGTCCATCTCCCAGGCGGTACTTCCTCTGCATTCCCTCCTTGAATCTTTCCCAACTACCTTGGGCTGCATCTATAACTTTCTTCACTTCTTGGTGGTAGCTGTGGAGAACGTAATGGAGAATGCGATGAAATTTTACAACATCTGACCGCCCGACCAGAGCTTGTTCTCCAGCCATTCTGAAACTCTCTCCCCACAAAAATGGAAGGTATCGACCTTGGGGATATTGCTCGGATTTTTTTCATGCCTGTCAATAGCCGCGATGAGGTCATCGAGCGTCAGGCCTTTCTTGGGGGCACCTGATGCGCCGCCGCCCTGCGACATGTTGACAGACTCTTCTCTTCAAGCTCCCTGATAAGAGAAAACAAGCACACCTCTTTTATTCAGCATTGCACCTTTACCGGTCTATTCCATCCGTCCTACCTAACCCTTAGKACAYRCTTTACCCAATGCTAGCACGATCGTCCTTCATACTTCCCCTAACTCAGGTAGGTAAACTTCCTCACCTATACTTAGTCACTCATTACTTTTTCTTACCTTCTCGTCATTCTTTTTATGCCTTTTTCCCATTCACTTCTCATACCCGGATGTCGTTCCACCAGGGACAACGGTAGGCTTTCCGTTATCGCCGGCAACGGCGCCACCTGTCGAGCGCATCGGTCCGGCACCGCATCAGGGCAGCGCGGGACCCTTCGGCCACGTCACGCAGGAGTTGGTTTATATCCTTCGTCGCAAATATACATGTGAAGCTTCCTTTAGCCGCTCCGGCCGAGTGCGCCAGCCATACCTCTCGCGAACCCCTACGACAGGATAGGGTCTACGCGAGGCACGACTTACTTACACCTTACGGGAGTTGTCACCTCCCTTCGGTGGGCGTATCCTCGCCGAGCTATCAGTCCACAATACGAAAGCTAATCAGTTGCAATCGCAGAGGTGAACCAGACGAAGGCGTTTCTCGTTCGCTGTAGCATAGGGGGTACGTGTGGTAATACGCCTCTATCGGACCCGCACGCGAACCGTCATCTTGGGGGGCTGAGGTCCCAAGCGCGGTTTGTCGCTGGTCGACTAGGACGCATCCTACACACCACGCGCACACCACTTTACGAACACAAAAATAAAACCCACACACACACATACGAGACAACACAATATAAACAACGCGACAACGCTCCTAGCCCCTCGGTAGCCGCCCCATAACTTCCTGATACGGAAATCGGATAGGCGTCGCACGCGAGACTTTAATATAAATCCGTGCGGACGCAGAGCTATCGCATATCGACTCGCAATGCAAACGTGCGCAAGCAATCGCAATGAAGGCGTACTATATGGTACCCATACTCACGCGACCCTTGTTAATCGCGAGGGTCGCGTTCGACACTCAAGTGTCGGCTGACACGCGTCTTGAGGGTTAATCTCTCGACGTTGGACAACCGCCATGCGCGGTTGAAGACCACACTCTTTTCTGCACCCTGTGCAAAAGGGTTGAGTAGACAGCTTTAAGCTGTCGTGGCGGTCGAACATCGAGGGGTTTGACTTTGACGGCTGCCACGGACTATAACGTCCAACTATAAAAACTCCAAAGAGCAAAAAAAATAAGGAATAGGCCGAAGGTTCCCCGCCTAGTAAACAAAATTATAGCCCTGGGGTACCCTCCCTTCTTCGCTCGGCATTGGCGGCCTATAACAATCTCAAACATCCGTCCATATGTGTCGGTCCCTTTGTAATCCCATAACGCTTCACACACTAGGGTGATAAAAACATCGCGCGCGGAATTTTAATATAAAGTCGCGCAGGCGAGGGCCTATCTCATACCAACCCGCGATGCAGGCGTACGCATGCAGTCGCAACGATGACGTACTATGTAGTGCCCATAATCAAGCGGTCCCTCGTGGATCCGAGCACCGCTTATGACACTCAAGTGTCAGACTSGARGTGTCGTGGGGGTCTGATCCTTCACGACATTGCACGGCTGAAGGAATAGCCGTGCAGCCGCCACGAGACCTCCGACCTTTGGTCTGAGCGTCTCGGTAGGCAAAGCAAATAGGCTCTGCGCGAGGGAAAACCCCTTCCCTGCAGAGCCTAGGGCTTGGGATGTCCTGGACAAGGACCTCGAATCACAGCCCAGGACCAACGTCCGACTAAGAAAAAATCCTTAAGAAGTAAAACCAATAAGGGGAAGGGCCTTCCCTAGGCCTCGTAGTCTTAACCCCTGAGCAGACTTTTAATACGGGGCCCTTAAGCCAATGCAAATATTCACCCCAAGTATACCCATATATATACATATATAACAGGGGGAAGTATGTGACGATCACTTCTCACAGTCTCATTGGGGTCCCTCACAGCCATACGTATATATGTGATCGCAGGCAACCACATCCAGAATCTGATTCATAGCACATACCTGCGAATCACATCAACGAGTCAAGCAACAGCCCACGCACTACACGGAGTCAACCCCAACCATCTTCAACACTCATACCCCTCGCTTTAGCCATGCAAGCCCCAACCTCATGTCCAACCAAGCTTAATTAAATACTCAGTACCTTTGTTAAATGGTCATTCAATAAAAATCCGGCTGAAACCATAACGAAACAATGAAAATCACCAGGGCTAAAGCCTTTTAGGTTGGGTGTGGATGGTGAGTTGGAATTGAGTCGTAAACCGACCAATCGACAACCGACCTGTTATGAGTGATAACAGATAATGATCCTCAAGGGATCAAGCGGAATCTAGTCTTGACCTTGAATCAAACAACCCAAAGGACGTGTAACATAAGATAGGTCAAATGCCCAGGCTAAATCATCAGCATATGGGGGATAAACCTCCATAGCACACCTCCTTATAATACTCTCTCGCGCCACGTGTCGAAAATAATCTAATATGGGGGATAAACCTCCATAGCACACCTCCTTATAATACTCTCTAGCGCCACGTGTCGAAAATAATCTAACTCCTCTAAAAACAAGAAAAATTTCGGCAGCGCCTTCCGTAGGAAAAATGCCCTCTCAGAATTTATGTAAGCCCAAATATGAAATCAGAAATAACCCTTGACTCTCCTAAGTCTAATTTTGTCTAACTCCCTGAATTAGCAAAATTTTGGGCAGCACTTCCTTTAGAAAAGGACGGTTCCCAGAAATTTACTAAGTCATATATGAAGTCTAGACAAGTTGAACTTTGAGAAGTCAGAAATTTGACTAACTCCCTGAATTGGCAAAAATTTGGGCAGCACTTCCTTTAGAAAAGGAGGCTTTCCAGATTTTTACTAAGCCAGATAAAATGAAAAGACAAGTCAAGCTTTGACAAGCCAAACTTTTGACTAACTCCCTGAATTAGCAAAAATTTGGGCAGCACTCCCTTTAGAAAATGAGACTTCCCAGATTTTTACTAAGCCAAAAAAAACAAGTCAAGTTTGGACAAGGCAAGATTTGTCTAACTCTTTGGATTTGTAGAAATTTCGGCAGCGCTTCCCGTAGAGAAAGTGGCTTGCCAAGATTTATACAAAGCCAAGTATACGAAAAGATCCCAGAAAATGCAAGAATTGACCTAAGTAAAAAAAAAAAACTTAGCTCAGAAAATGCAGGAATTGAAACTAACTCCTATGGCTCTAGCACGTGGCGAGCGACTAAAGCAACTACTTATCAACTGAAACTCAGACTAAGTAGTAGCCTCACTCAGTCACATGCAGGCCAAACCACAAAGGTAAGTACTCTCACCATCCCAAGGTTAACCTGAACAAACAATAGTTCATGATCCCTCAACGATTTAACCCATTATACCCAGCTTACATAAGGCATAGGTCAGGCCGCCTGAACTTACAGAACAACTCAATTTAGCCAGGTCTAGAGTCAGAATACCTAAACTTATAGAGTTTTCTGACTTGGCCAAATATACACAAACAGAGGGCATAACTACCTCTCTCTTCTTTGCGCATATGACTAGACCACTCCAGTCGCCCTGAACTGTTTAACGTATCCAAATTGTATATACTTATCTTCACCTTCGTCTTCTAAGGCTGCATATGACTGAACTAACTTAAGTTCAGTCTGCCCCAGTTTACCATCAATTTTATTCTTAGCTGTACTCTCTTCAAGTTGTGATACGGCTGTAATCAGACCACCTAAACTTATAGAACAGTCTGATTAGCTCGTTCTTAGATAGAGTAGTAATAAAGTATAACCAAGTTATAACCATTGGGTTCCAGCATGTGCGAGGCTTTGAGCCAGACCCCCTGAACTTACAGAAGGGTCTTAACTCTCCGCCAGATTCTTTTCTATCTGAGCCATTATGTGTGTGGCATCGAGTCAAACCCCCTGAACTTACAGAAGAGTCTGCCTCTTTGCCAAGATTAATTATTCAGAATAAAGGGCAGGAAGAGACTGAGTCAGCTGAACTTACAGAACATCTCAGTCTCCTCGTTCAGAAACCAAAGAAAACAAGTAAAATCCCAATGAAAACAAAGCAACCCAAGACACCAAAACTTATTGAGCGCCCTGAGTCCTTGAAAATCAAGCACAGTCAAACCCCTCACAGGTCAGAGCAATCAGGCCACCTGAACTTATAGAACAGCCTGACCCTCCATGCAAACCATATCACTGAGTCTCCCCAAACTTATGGGGACATCCCAGCCTTCAGAGTAACCAGACCCCCTAAACTTATAGAAGGGTCTGACTTCTCCATGCAAAACCAAAATAAAACAAAGCACTGGGGTTCCCCAAACTTATGGGGACTCCCCAGCCTTAACGGCCCGTCAACCACCATGCAAATCATACCCCCATCCTGCCTTTCCCCCAGATGCAGTTCTTTTCAACAATCTGACTTCATACAACCAACAAAAGTTGAAACTGAGACTTCAGCAGACATTCCTTACTTAGTATTGTTCAGTGTCCTGAAAGTCAAATCAAAAATAAAGTAAGGCTGCACACCATATATTCAGTCAGCGATGCATCAGGTGATACAAAATAGAGGTTATAGGGTGGGTGTATAGAGGGAAACGCAAAGGTTACCTGTCAATTCCCTGCCTCAAGAGCCTCGCCTAGGCTCCGGCAGAGCTCCCGCAATCGGTGGGCAGACTCCCCACAGAGTCTTGATGCGGTCCTACGGGTTGCAATCCCGCCTGCCGCCTTCCCCTCAAAACAGGACTAGAATTAGAGTAAGAAGAGTAAAAAGAGATGGTTTTGAGACTCTCAGATACCAGAGGGGTGCTCTCAGACTCACTGGAGAGGGCCTCGTAATCTTGATACTCCTGAG